CACATTGCTCTCAGTCACTTTTGGTCTTTTAAGGCACAGAATTAGACACATATATTCAAGCAAAGGTCAGCCTTCATGAAAGTTCTGTGAGGGTGCTGTTTCCATGGCAAGTTCAGCATTTCTCCAGCGCAGCGAGAAAGGGAAAGTTATGTTTATTCTGAGTAATGGAGTAAAATATCAACTTACAGTAATCAATCCTGAAAACAAAAGCATTGAGATACTCTAGACCGAATGAAGCTGATATGAAACAGACCTCTGAACTTCATGATTACAAAGAACGGCCATTGGAGAGCATCACTCTGAGGGATCTTCCTCAGAAGTCCTTCAGATAGATTCATGAGACAGAGCTGGCCAAGAAAAACAAGGAATCATTTCCTGGACTTTGTGAGTGAGGTGTTTGGTGGCTAGAAGGTTCTCGCTAGGATTATTGAGTTCATCTTAGACCTCCAGTGCTTTATAACTACTGACAAAACTTCATAAACCTTTCATTTGCCCTTTGTAGATTAAGCAAGAATTTTAACAGGCACTCTTGGCTCAGAAAATCAAAGCCGAGAAAAACTCAAGGTTCCTCATGCTAAAGTCTTCCCACAACTAAGAACCAAGTTTCACTGCCCACCCCCTAAAGAAGGGACAGATAATGTGAATGGTGGAGTGCACATTATCCAGTTAGCTATCAGTATTACTGATGAGACAGTAAGCTATCATTTACAGAACTCAAGAAATTACTTTGAAAGGCTTTTCCATCACCTTCCCAAATTCAGAAGACATTAATCTTCACACACAGGTTCAAAACTAACCATTGTAGGAAAATAGGTGAGCACCATGTCAGCAATAGTTTGCTGAACCAGCATTCCAGTAAGTGACAATCAGTTCAGAATGACACTAACATCCACTAAGAGCTTACTGGGTGCAGTGGGCAGCATGCTTAGCACTTTACACTAACCTCCATACCATAGATGGAACACATGCCCCCCCCCCCTAACATCCACTAAGAGCTTACTGGGTGCAGTGGGCAGCATGCTTAGCACTAACCTCCATACCATAGATGGAACACATGCCCCCCCCACACACACACAGAGGCAGGAATTCAGGAAAGCCCACCTAGCAACTTCAAAACCTTTTCTTATATTGACAATTATTAAGCTCCAGCTCAACTTTTTTTTTTTTTTAAATGAGTGTTTTGCCTGCATTTATGTGAGTGCATTCATGTCCTATAATGCCCACAGAGGTCAGAAAAGGCTGTTGGATCCCTTGTAACTGGAGTTACCATGTGGGTGCTGGGAACTGAACCTGAGTCCTCTGGAAGAGCAGCCAGTGCTCTTAATTGTTACGCCACCTCTCCAGCCCCAAGTTCCACCTCAGCTTTAAGAAAAAAACCAAAAAACTCCCTTTTTCTCCACAGCAGTTACTGTATTGGAGCATCAAGTCACATTCATCTAAATCATTTCAGCGTGGTCCCTAAGTCCAGACAGTGCCACTGGAACCTCACCACATTGCTCTACTAGCTCCTCCCAATCTCTAGGTTAGGTCAGTCACCCCCATAAGACTTGTATGCACAGAGATGCTGAGAACAGATAAAATGTGGTACCCACAGCAGAGAAGCTTTTGGGTACTAGGCAAGGGCAGTGGTGAAGGCCAAAGAAATAGTGAAATGGACAGAGAGCATGGAAAAAGGAGACGTGAAGACAGTGAGAGAAGCTGGTTGGCTGTAAAGGAAATGGGGCTGAGGAGAAGAGAGCCAGCCCTCAAGGACTGCTGGAGAAGCAGCCAAACCTGTCTTCAGACAACTCTCATTCTGCCTTCCTAACAAAGGTGCTCTAAACTCTGTAGACTGAGAGCCCCCTATGTATCTGCGTGCACACATGAGCATCATGTGGGGGCTAGAGGTGAATCTCAGGCATCCTTCCTCAGGAGTGGGGGTCCTGGGATTCACCTGTCCCCACCACACCAGCACTGAAATCGTAAGCATGTGGCACTACACCCTGTTTTACGCAGGTACTCATGATGGAACTCAGGTTCTCATGCCTGCATGGTAAGCGCTCTACTGACTGAGTCACCTCTTCAGCCTTTCAGGATCCTGTTTATGAGTAAAAGTCACTGAGGACCACAAGGACTTTTCTATGAACTACTTTTGAACAGCCAGTTCAGGACTTAAGAAGATTCAACTTGCAATCTTTCAACTGTATGATGGTACAGAAACATACTCAGTAGGAAATGCATTTTGAATTTTGAGGGCAGGCATGCTTTACTCTTGTGATGCTGGGCAGCAGCAAGCCACAGCTCCCAGTCAGACAATCAGAAGGGTGAACCAGCCTCCAGGGTTGCTAAGCTACATGTTCTTTGGTAAGTTATATGCATTAGGCTGTTTCAACTTACCCTATTTTCAACATATAATGGATTTATCAGGACACAACCTCATTTTAAGTAGAGGACCATTTATATTACAAAGTGAAATGGAAATATTTTTAAAGAAATTTAATTCAGAATTAAACAATAACAACAACAACAACGAACAGGGTTAGGGGGATGCTCAGCAATAAAAGGGTTTCCCACCAAGCCTGAGGACCTGGTGGAAGGAGACAACCAACTCCCAAAAGTTGTCCTCTACTCAGCCCATGGCACCCATACACAACACCCCCTTACACTAAATGAAATATAATAAAAAAAAAAATCTTAAGAAAATTTAAATAGCCAGGTGTGGTGGCACACATCTTTGATCCCAGCACTTGGGAGGCAGAGGCAAGTTCCAGCATCTCAAAAGCAAACCAAAACAAAAAAACTCCGACTAGCAGTAGTTTCTTAAACGTGATTACAAAAGAGGCCTGTGCCCAAGGACCCAAAGAGAGAACAACTCCCACAAGACCCTGACACGTGCACTGTGGAAAGTGCATGCACACACAAAATAGTATGTTAAAAAAAAAAATCCTGCAAATTGTCCTCTGACCTCCAAATGAGCTTATGGCAAGCATGTGCACACACATATACAGAGAAAAAAAAATAATGTAAAAAACCCACCATTCTTTAGTGATATCAAAGGATTAAGGACACAGCTCAGTTAGCAGCATGCTTGGCTAGCATGTAGGAACCCTTGAGTTCAATCTAAACTGTAATCCCAGCACTTGGGAGGTAGAGGGAGGAGGTTCAAGGTCATTTCCACTACATGGTGAGTTTGAGGCTAGCTTGGAATATATGGAACCCTATCTCTGAGAGAAGGATCTCAAGTGTGAGGCCACACAATGACACATGACAAAAAGTTGTTTCTAACTCAGCAACTGTGTTTTAGTACTCTGTAACATAAACGCCATGAAAGTATCTTCTAGTCTGAGTAGATCTCTAGGAATGCTTGTTTTCACAACACATTCTGTTTCTCTGGAAGTAAATAGACCTTCCAAATATTAACTAATTTTTATACAATATGAAAAACTGTTAATATCACCACTCAACCTCATCCAAAAATTAAGTATTATTAAACTGCAAAGCTCAGAGTTAACAGATACAACTTTTCCAAAATTTTAGTGTCATAAAGGTTTGAATTTTATTTTGGGGTACAGATACTATTGGATATCTTCTTAAAGTGACAGGCTTGCTTCATTCATTTTCTAGATTAGCAAACATATGAAACAGGCACCACTAAGAACAGTCATTAAATACCTGAAAAGTACCATTTTCTAAGTCTTCACCTGCACAAGCCTCACAATGGGAATTTGTGTCACATTTCCCCATAGGAAAAAAAAAAAAAAGTTCAACTAGATGCTCTTCAAACTCCTTCCATCTGGACTCATTATGATTCAATTTCCCAGGCAATTAATCAGTGTATGTGTGCTTCTGGAAAATTATAAAAGAATCCCGATTAACTTATTTAAATTAATTCAACTACTTAGAAAATACCATAACGTACAAAAAGAAATCAAACTACACAATGTAACAAAGTACATAAAGTATACACACAAAGTAGCAGGAGAGCAAAGCTGTTCCTTGACCGAAACTTCCTACAGTTAACTAGACCCAGTCTTACTGCAGATGGATAATAAGCGCTGCAGTTCCAGGCTAACGTGGCAGAGGGAGGGGTTTGGGGTATGTGTTTTTTTCCAGATTGGAAGTATTCTTCCTAAGGAAAGATATTTTTAAAAGTTAAAAATTACGGCAAAAAAAAGGGAACCACACCTAATTTGATTTGAGGAGTGGAGGGTGGCTGGCCAGAGACAGAATGATAGAACACATAGTAAAAAAGAATAAAAAAGAACACAATAAAAAAGAATTAAAAGGCGAAGCCCATGGTGACCTCCAAATGAAAGCCTATTAACTGAGTCAGGCTCAAACCAGAAGTGAAGATGGCAAAGTGGCAGAATTTTCTGAATCTGGCGGTTCTGCGCCAATTAATTACTTCCGAGACGGGATTCCACCTTCCTTAGCAGAGGCAAATGATTGCATCAGGCGCCAGCCCAGGAGAAACTCGTTTGGTGTCTACGCCTAGTAGGTCATGAATCCCTGGCGCCCTATGAAAGCTTTGGCTCTAAGTGGACGTGGGCATCGTCTGAAACAATCTCCTTGCCCTCTCTCGAGTCTGATCCCCATTAGGTGCTCCAGAAAAAGAGGGGCTTTAATAAACCCCCAGGTCTCCGGCTAAGAAGCTCCCTTTCCGCAATAAGCACTTTCAAGGTGTTCTATGCCGAGGGCGGCGACTCCACCAAGGGGCTCATTCCCACCCAGTTGCCAATTTTACGATGCGAGACCGAAAACTCGCGAGTTCCAGGGGCCAAAAGAAGTAACAGGAGCGGGGGATCACGAACTGCCACCCTTGCTAAGGGGAGGAAAAGTCCGACCCCTCTCCACCGCCGTGTACCGGCCCTAATTCTGCAGGGGAGGAGAAAGAGGCTCTTCCCAAGCATCCCCAACCCCCAGAGCACGAAGAACCCGGACCGGGCCCTCGCAGGCGGCCCTGGACTAAGGATGGGGAGAACCGAGGAGTGAGGGATGCAGGCGCGGGCGGGAGCCGGTACCTGCTGGCGCACGGCGAGCCGCAGCGGGGCCAGCACCTCCTCCGTGCCGTCCATGCTGCTTCGGGAGGCGGCGGCCGCAGCGGGCCGCGCGGTCGGGGCGCTAAGGGGCCGGGTGGGCAGCCGGGGCGAAGGCAGCAGCGGCAGCGCCGAGCGGACGGCCCTGAGCAACACCTGGAGAGGAGAGGGCATGAACCAAGGCCTGGGCGGTCCCGAGGGCGGCTACGGAAACGGCGCGCGCCGCTCGGCGTGGCGCGTGACGTCATCGTCGCGTCGTCTGTGCGGCGCGCGCAGAGGCGCCTAGGCGCTGCATCGGTGACCACAGATTCAGCCGGGAACCTGGAAGCGTCTGCTGAGGCTAGCTCAGTTTAGGGTTTGTTCAGAACCCGGTCAAGAATCGCTCAAGGGCACAAGGCTGAGCATGCAGACCCAGACCCGCGCCTGCCGATCGTGGGCCTGCCCAGCTTGAACGCACGACTTAGAATATGTAAACGCCAAATCAAACGGTCCCAGACTTAATATAAACCGGGCGTGGGAGTGCACGTCCGTAATGCCAGAACTTGGGAGGCTGAGGCAGGAGGGTCCAGGGTTGAAGGCCATCCTAGGTTACATAGTGAGAGCCTGTCTCAAAAATAGAAAAAGAAAATTGCTTAAGCTCAGACTTTTAACGGGCATTGGGGTTGTTTTTCAACCCAGGACAGGGCAGTTAATTTGAAAGCCAAGCTATTGAGGCAAAGAAGGTGTCTTTATTGGAAAGCCCACACATGAAGAAGCCAGAGGAGCTCAGCACAAAGTTCGCGGGAAATGCATTTTAGGTTCTATAGGTAGGTGATGTTGGCAAGCTGGTGGGCATCTCACAGGTAGCAGGCCCAGGTAGCTAGGTAATGGGCAGGTGGGCCAAATGAAGTCCTTTGTTTCCCTGAATCCCCCAAGAGAGAATCTTTGAGGTAGTAGCGTGTCTGTAATGATAAAAAGTCCACTTCCACTGCCGCCTGTGAATCCGATGACTTATGTGTCAAGAGTGACAGTAAAAGAAAGGGCTTTATTGACAGCCACCCAGAAGGCAGAAGGTGGACTTCCAAATTTCGTCTTGCCAGGATCACAGAAAGCTTGAATGGGGAGTCTAATTATAGTTACAGTCAGGCCCTGGGATGGTCATTAATTCTTGGCATAATCAAGTCTCTTGACCCAGTTTTGATGCTGTCCACAGGTGTTCCTAAAAACTTAAAGATAATTGATTAGGAGGCTCTATGACTAGTGTCCTTCGATGCTTTCCCTTATTCTTATTTTCAGGTGAGGCAGACTATTGATTAATTGTTTGAGGAGTGAGGCATAAGGAAGTTAGACAAAAATGGAAGCAATGACAAATAGACTTCCTAGTACGGGGAGCACCTTAAGCCATTCACCAACTTCAGCGGTGCTGGGACCACCTTGATTCATTCACCAGCTTCAGTGGTGCTGGGAGCATCTTAACCATTCACCAGCTTCAGTGGTGGTGGGAGCACCTTAACATGTTTACCAGCTTCAGTTGGTGGTGGGAGCACCTTAACCATTCACGAGTTCACCAGCTTCAATGGTACTAGGAACAGTTAACTCATTCTTTGGTTTCACCTCTGTCCTCTTAAGATCACCCACTCTTGAATGAACCTGATTCTTCTCTGCTAATTCTTGAATATTGGCCTTTGAGCATTAGGCAGCTGGACTTTTAAGTCCAGTAACAGGCAGAGGCCAGGAGGCTGGCAGGTTGTGGGAACTGAAAAGCAAAAGCTTAGTGGAGCTGTGTTTACTCAAGACAGAGGAGTAACATCCTGGAGCAGCTTCAGGATAGAGGAGCACCTGAGGGAGGGAGAGAGTGAAGACGTGGGCTCTTCTGGGAAGAGCCAGCCTTTGGCTGAAGCCAACGTAGTTCAAATGATATATTTTAAGTAGCTGTGGCCTTGACTTATTTTGGGAGAGACTGTGTGTCAGTGTTTAGCTTGACTGGAACTTGTATCAAGCCCTTCAGTCCAAGCTGTTTCCTCTGGGCTAGTCAATGGCCTCAAGGTGGAGCAATGGCCTCAAGGTGGAGAAGCTGAACTCCTCCCTCATTTGCCTTCCATTCAGAGTCTGTAATTTATAGGGCACTAAAAATGATCACAATGCTGTCTCTATGTCCACCACATTTATAAGCAAGTCGGTCTTCAGCACCGGAGCTGAAGTATGACCCAAGAATCAGTCAGGCATTTCCAGGAAAATGGATGCAACTTGTCAACACAAAAACGTAGCTTTCAGCTCCAAGGGGATAAGAGAGAGTGTATTCTGGAGCCAAATATGAGTGACCATGGCCCAGGAACCCAGATTTAGGTCATCCAAATTTCATGTTCCAACATGGAAGTTAGTGATCTGCTAAATTACTACATTCCAAAGGAAAGCTAATGTTCTGTTTGTATAATCCAAATGATTTACTTGAGAGTCACAGAAGATGTTAGGTTTTGTACGGAGGACAGCAATAAATGCTATTAAGGGGCTAAAGGTGGCCCAAGGTAATTTGCCTCTGGAACTGCAACAGTTCAACTTCTCTACAATCCCGGAAGTTCCAATCAGTCAATCAGCTTTGTAAACACAGCTGCTGCTTTTGAGGAATTCTCATTCACAATTATTATGTTAAGTAAAGTCAGACATGTAAAGACAAATACTGCATGTTTTCTCTTCTTGTATGGAGCCTAAATGAAAATTTGTGTGAGTGTGTGTGTGTGTGTGTGTGTGTGTGTGTGTGCGCGCGCACGTGTTTATATATGTGTGTTTGTAAGTCATGAAACTAAAAAAGGGATTATGAGAGGAGAGGAAAAGATCTTAAGGGAGATGGAAAAAGAGAGGGTAATGAAATACTTGGAAAGTTGGGAGCTGTAGGGAAGAAAGGGAACAAGCTAGAGGTAGGGAGAGGACATGGAGAAAGAGTAGGGAGGATGTTAGGGAGAGGAACAAGTATAATGTCACACATGCATGAAGATGCCGTGACGAAACCCATTACTTTGTATGTTAACCTAAACATTACTTTAAAAAATTGATTTTTTTGAAGGGGATGGAAAAATGATGCAGTGGTTTAGAGCACTGGCTGCTGTTGCAACAGACTTGGGTTTGATTCCTAGCACCCATGTGGCAGCTTACAACCATCTGTAATCCAGTTCCAGGGGATCCAACACCCTCTTCTAACCTCTGTGGGCATTGCATTACATGGGTGCACTTACATACATGCAGCCATATACTCATACAAATAAAAATAATAAATGAAGTATTTAAAAATTTAAAAAATAATTTAAAAAACTTTTTGGATAGGTTGTCACAACATTTAGCAAAGACCCAATAATACCTGAAACAGGAAGACCATCATGGGCCACACTGTTACAAAACCACTGGGAAGGACCACTCAGACTCCAGGTGTTCCAAATTAGCTGAATTTTATTTAGCTTGTCATCAACTATACTCTCTGGGTTGGGATTTAGAGAGTACAGCCTCGACTTAGAGGAAAGTAAAGCTTTTTATATATTTTTTATTTTTAAAAATTATTTAATAACCACATTATTCAAAAGTAAAGCTTTTAAAGGCAAAAACCGTATCCTGATGGACCAAGTGTTTTTACAAAATTTTACAAGAAAAATGTGTTCGTTCCTGCAGGTATGCAAGCAGGCAATTTAGAGAAGCCAGATAAGCTTTAGGCAAGCAGTTACAAAATCCACAAAACATTAACTGAAATATTTCTGGTTTTGATGGGGGCATTTTCTATGGCTAATCCTTCCTGGAACTGACTTTCAGGGAGTTCATTAAGATGGTAACTTTATGCAAAATGGAGGCACTCAGGTTATCACAATGTGTGATGAAGGAGGTAAGAACCACCAAAACACCACCTAGGACACAGGATAAGGAGGGAGAAGATAGAAAGATGGACTTACAAAAGATCTGTTTACATGTGACTTCCTGGGAGTTTGGAGGTAGGCAGAGTGGGAAGTTGTCCTCAGTGAATGGACTGACTGATCTGCTGGTCCTGCTTACACTCATTTGGGTCAGAAGCTGCCATCTTTCTGCTATCTCCACTAGGAATTAGATGACCATCTCCTTCATGCCCTCTCCTTCCCCAGTGTGTCCTGAGACTAAGGTGTGTGCTGTCCTCTCTGGCATGAAGGCCTGGCTTCTAAGCCTGGCTACACTTGAATGATTCTAAGGGATGATTCCCAGTCCAAGTTATGAAAGGGAAGGGTCCAGTTCTAGCCCCAGACCTTACTCCAACTCTTATGTGACCTTAATATCTTTCTCCTTTCCAGCTTCAGTTTCCCCATCTGAACAATGAGGGGACCTGGGCTTGCTGGCCTTTTGACCTCTTCTTTCTCTAACTATGTAAACTTATGAAGAGCTGATGTCACTCTGTCCAGTAGAGGGAAGCAGTTCCCCACAAGCCAGCTTCTAAAAACACCTGTAATTGATGCTGGGCCAGGTTTGGCTGGACAGGGCTGAGCTGGGTTGGGCATCCATGTAGATGTTCCCACACACCTGCATTGATGAGGGGCTGGGCTGGCCTGGGGTGGGCATCCATGTAGATGTTCCCACACACCTGCATTGATAAGGGGCTGGGTTGGCCTGGGGTGGGCATCCATTTAGATGTTCCCACACACCTGTATTGGTAAGGGGCTGGGTTGGGCTGGGCATCCATGTAGGTATGCCCACACACCTGTAATCGATACTGGGCTGGGTTTGACTGGACTGGGCTGGGAGACCCTGTCTCAAAAAAACCAAAACCAATACAAACAACAACAAAGAAGTGATGGACCTGGGAAAGCATTTGGTAGCCATGAGGGAAGCAGTTAACAAGTATGGGAGGGAGATAAGAAACGGTGGTGGGGAGAGCAATCAGATTACATCATATACATGTATGAATCATTGAGATAACAATATTAATAAAGAAAAAACAGGCCAATAGAATATTTCAGAAATTGTGTTGAAACTTGGTGTGATTATGAAACTCAAAAGGCACAACATAATGTTTTATGCAGAATAATGAATTTTCTAGTAATGGATAGACTTTGATGATAGATGTTTATAGCTATAGCAGTGTGTGTGTGTGTGTGTGTGTGTGTGGTGTGTCTTTTGTGTGCACATGCCTGCAGTTACACATGCCTGAGTGTACATACAGATCCCAGAGGCTGAGATCTCATCTGTTGTCTTCATTTGTTGCTGTCTACTTTATTTTTTAAACAGGGTCT